AGGACTCGGCCTGCCTTGCCACGGGCGGGCCTAGGCGGCGGTGGTGGTGGGCATTTGACGCGTGCCTCTGAGCGTGTGCAGAGTGCGACCACGTAGTCCAGCCCATCCTTGGCGGCCGCGCGTGCAGTTAAAGAGAGCGGGAGCAGCTTTCCTCCCTCAGCTCTGCTGAGGCGGCTAGGGAGAGGGAAGGGGAAACGGGCCTCCTCATTACCGGCCTCCCGCTCTGCTGCATCATTTGCGTCTCTCCCAGCGGAGCCCCAGCTCCTCCTATAGGCCAAAGAGGCGTTCCGGTTGACTATATACGATAGGGTGTGGTGGCGGCAGCAGCCCTGTCCGCCAGCCACACCGATGTTGCCACCAAGACCGAAGGCCAAATTCAGCATTGGCTTCTTTTCCATTACTTTTTTAGATCTCTATCTAGGTGGCTCACAAAACCACACAATTTGAACACATTACGGTGCTTGCAGCAGCCCAGATTTAATCACACAGGTTTTAAACAGAGCAGTTATTCGCCCTAATACCGTAGGAGTGCAAAGCAGCCATTTACACCAAAAGCAGGCGAGGTGCAGCCTTCCCAATGGTGGATTGCAACTCCCGTCATCTTTTATTATTGGTTATGCTAGCCAGAGAGTTCCAGAAAAATATCTACTTCTGCTTCATTGACTATGCGAAAGCCTTTGACTGTGTGGACCACAGCAAACTATGGAGTGCAAAAATATAGAGGAAAATAATAGAAAGGGAAAAACCAGAGATCTGTTCAAGAAAATTGGAGATACTAAAGGAACATTTTCTGCAAAGATGGACATGATTAAGGACAAAAATGGTAGGGACCTAACAGAAGCAGAAGACATCAAGAAGAGGTGGCAAGAATACACAAGGGAATACGTTATACTAGAATGTCCCGGTCAACCCAGATAGTGTGGTTGCTGACCTTGAGCCAGACATCCTGGAGAGTGAGGTTAAAGTGGGCTTTAGAAAGCTTGTCTAACAACAAGGCCAGTGGAGGTGACGGCATTCCAGTGGAACTCTTTAAAATCTTAAAAGATGACACTGTTAAGGTGCTACACTTAATATGCCAGTAAGTTTGAAAAACTCACCAGTGGCCAGAGGATTGGAACAGATCAGTTTACATCCCAATCCCAAAGAAGGGCAGTGCCAAAGAATGCTCCTACTACTGTACAATTGCACTCATTTCACACGCTAGCAAGGTTATGCTCAAAATCCTACATGGTAGGTTTCAGCAGTTTTTGGACCGAGAACTCACAGAAGTACAAGCTGGATTTTGAAGGGGCCAAGGAACTAGAGACCAAATTGCTAACATTTGCTGGATTATGGAGAAAGCTAGAGAGTTCCAGAAAAACATCATCTTCTGCTTTGACTATGTGGACCACAGCAAACTATGGTAGGTCCTTAAAGAAATGGGAGTGCCTGACCACCTTATCTATCTCCTGAGAAATCTATATGTGGGACAGGAAGCAACAGTTAGAACTGGTCATGGAACAACTGAGTGGTTCAAAATTGGGAAAGGAGTACGGCAAGGCTGTATATTGTCCCCCAGCTTATTTAACTTATATGCAGAATACATCATGCGGAAGGCTGGACTGGAAGAAACCCAAGCTGGAATTAAGATTGCCGGAAGAAATATCAACAACCTCCGATATGCAGATGATACCATTCTGATGGCAGAAAGTGAGGAGGAATTAAAGAACCTCTTAATGAGGGTGAAAGAGGAGAGCACAAAAAATGGTCTGAAGCTCCACATCAAAAAAACTAAGATCGTGGCCACTGGTTCCATCACCTCCTGGGAAATAGAAGGGGAAGATATGGAGGCAGTGAGAGATTTTACTTTCTTGGGCTCCATGATCACTGCAGACGATGACAGCAGCCATGAAAATTAAAAGACGACTGCTTCTTGGGAGAAAAGCGATGACAAACCTAGACAGCATATTAAAAAGCAGAGACATTGGCTTGCCGACAAAGGTCCGCATAGTCAAAGCTATGGTTTTTCCAGTAGCGATGTAGGGAAGTGAGAGCTGGACCATAAAGAAGGCTGACTGCTGAAGAATTTATGCTTTTGAATTGTGGGGCTGGAGGTGGCTCTTGAGAGTCCCCTGGACTCCAAAGAGAACAAACCTATCTGTTTTGAAGGAAATCAACCCTGCGTGCTCACTGGAAGGAGAGATCCTGAAGCTGAGGCTCCAATACTTTGGTCATCTCATGAGAAGAGAAGACTCCCTGAAAAGACCCTGATGTTGGGAAAGTGTGAGGGCAAGAGGAGAAGGGGATGACAGAGGATGAGATGGTTGGACAGTGTCATCGAAGCTACCAACATGAATTTGACCCAACTCCGGGAGGCAGTGGAAGACAGGAGGGCTTGGCGTCCTCTGGTCCATGGGGGTCACGAAGAGCCAGACGTGACTTAACGACTAAACAAGAACAACATGCTAGCTAGAAATGCTTGATGTCCAAGCTGGATTTCAAAAAGGGTCACTTAAAATTACATTTCAAATACAGTATCTACTGGCAAGCACTAAAGAATTTCAGAAGATTTATCTATGCTTTATAGAGTACAGCAAATCCTTTGTGTAGATCATGAGAAACTTTGGGGTCTTCTGAAAGAAATGGGTGTGCCTCAGCACTTTATTGTCCTGATGCATAACTTGTGTTGTGGATAAGAAGCTACGGAAGAAGAATGGTTACGGGGGAGACAGAATGGTTTCCTACAGGGAAGTATGTCAGACAGAGGTGCATTTTATCTCCTTATCTGTGTAATCTGTACATGGAACATACCATAGTGAAAGCAATCTGTACATGGAACATACCATAGTGAAAATAGGTGGAAGAAACTTCTGTTATTCGGGATATGCAGATACTGTAACACCATCTTACTGGCCAAAAGCAGCAATGACTTGAAAATAATGGAAAGTGAAAGAAGAAAGATTGCAGCTGAATGTTAAGACAAATAGCATGACTATAGAAAAACTACACAACTTTCATGATAATGAAGTTGAAATAGTGATTTTGTGTATCTTGGCTCAATCATAGATCCAAATGGAAACTGCAGCCAAGAAATCAGAACACCATCTTACTGTCCAAAAGCAGCAATGGCTTGAAAATAATGGAAAGTGAAAGAAGAAAGATTGCAGCTGAATGTTAAGACAAATAGCATGACTATAGAAAAACTACACAACTTTCATGATAATGAAGTTGAAATAGTGATTTTGTGTATCTTGGCTCAATCATAGATCCAAATGGAAACTGCAGCCAAGAAATCAGAACACAAAGGAAAGCAATGAGGGAGCTAGAAGATGTCATGAAGTGTAAGGAATAAGGATACGTCATTGGAAGCCATGATCAAAATCGTCCACATTCCTGTATTTCCAATCACCATGTATGGGTGTGAAAACTGGCAGGAAAAAATGATTTGTTTGAAGTATGGTGATAGAGGAGAGCTTTGCAGGTACCCTGGACTTGCCAGAAAGACAAACAAGCCGACACTAGAGCAATTCAAGTCTAAACTATCTCTGGAAGCAAAAAAGATGAATCTGAGGCTTTCATATTTGGGTCACATTATGAGAAGGGAAGAAAATGTGGAAGGCAACAGGGAAAGAGGAAGACCAAATACAAGATGGATCAGCTCCCAAAAGGAACCCACAGGCTTGCATGTACAAGAGCTGAGCAGGGCAGCTAAGGATAGGACATTTCAGAGAGCACTCATTGATAGGATCACTAGAAGGCAGAGAACTTGAAGGCACATAACAATAACAATGCTAGGCAGTGCTGGTAGAACTTGCAATTCAACAACAAATGTTGGGGTACACATTGCTCACCCCAGTTAATATGTACAGAAGAAAATTAAGGTACATGGTTAGGCTTAATGTACCTTGGCACTTGCCGAGAATTAAATACTTTCATCTTTTTTTAAAAAAAAAAGTTGCTAAACCTGTTCCTTTTGTACCACAAAACCCAGCAGAGCATTGGGAGCCAAAGGAGCCTGTTTAAATGGCTGCATTGTAAAAATAATGGGAGCTGTTTTTATGTACAGAATAACTTAAAATCAGTAGAGATGCATACAACACACAAACATGCTTGTTCAAAAAAGATTACATATGTGCACAACTTCAAACTCTTTAAGTTTAGTACTTTTCACAATTCAGCCACCAGTAATTGGTAATAAGTTCATTCAGGCAAAATTAAAGGGGTTGGAAGGGAAAGGTTTCTCTCTCCTCTTTCCCCTGCCATTTTGCCAACATACGGAGACAGATGAAATTAGCTGCCACTTTGAATTATTTTGTAGTCTGCATGAACCGCTTGCACAGCTCACTCAAATGATGAAAGAAGAATGTATGGACTGCTTATTATTAATTGTAAGGATGGTTCAGTGGCTTCTGCAATGCGTCACAGCTTAAGTTTGTTTATGCCTGGTACCTAGCCTGGTACTAGGACATTGCTCTCATGAATCATGTTAAATGCTGGGGTTATAGGCAGCAAGTGCTGAAACTGTGTTGTCCAAGACAGTTCTTTTCCAAGTCAATAGGTCAAGCTGTTCATTTTAATAAACACATTCACAACAGGGAGCAGTCAGAGGTGCACTCATCAGGCAATCCAGATTATAAGGGATTCCAGGAATCATCATAGTCATCATCTTGGAACTGGAGAGCCAGAAGGGGCCCTATGGATCATAGGGTCCAGCCGTTGTCATGGAGCCAGAGTGGGGGGTTGAACTCTCAACCTCTGGCTCCATGGCCAGAGACCTAAACCACTGAGCTATCCAGAATCTTGAAAGACAGAACAGATAGCATGTGAGAGACCAACTTTCATACCAGCTCCCACAAAGGCTGAACTGTCAAGCCTACAGGGATTTGTAGCACTCAACTTGCCTTTCTCTAGTGTTGAGCTATTTCCAAGGAGGGTGCCTTGGAATGCTGGCCTTGTTTCTGTTCCCATCTCTTCATCTCCCTTAGACAAACGGGACTCATATTTGCCCATGCTCTCTTTGTCCTCTGAGGCTTCAATTTCTGCTGTCCTACTTCTTGAAGGTTTTCAATGTGTAGTATATAGAGTAACTGACTAGGACTCTGGAGAACGTTTCAAATCTCACTCAGCCACGGAAACTGGAGGAGTGGAACTGGTACAACTACTTCATAAATATCTCACTTACCTTGAAAGTCCTTCTAGGGGTGCTACAAGTCAGTACCAACTTGACAGCACAGAATACACTTCATGAAGTTTCTGGAAGAATGCTGACAGCTGGAACATTGAATTTCTCCTTTACACAAGCCTCCCCTGGTTGCATGAGAGATCTTCCCCACCCTCTGAAAGCAGCTCAGTATGGTACAGCATGGCACTGTACATCCCACTTCAGTAAAATTCATGAGGTGCAAGCCATGAGAACTCTTGAAGTTAGATTCCAGGTCCCATGAGCCAATGCCCCATGAGAATGGTCAATGGTCAAAGATGATGGGGTCCAACATCATCTGAAGAGAAACAGGTTCACCTCCCCTAACCATTTAATCTTCATTCCGTTAACTAAATGCTGACTCTGTAACTTGAAAATAAGCCCTTCCTGCTTCCTTACCAGCTTAGCTTTCTGCATTTTTTGCTGTCTTAAGAGTTTCAGAGAACATAATAATAATGTGCCATCCAGCCAATTCACTTACAATGACCCTTTCCAGGGTTTTCCAGATAGACGTAATGTATTCTCTTTTTGGGAGCAGTCTCAAAACTCACCCCCTGGGGGAAAAACTTTTTTTTTTGAATGGCTGCAAACTCCCTTCAATATTTTGCCTCAAAATTACACATCACTGCCCCCAAAATCTAAGAGCGTACAGTTTGTTATTGAAACACATCCCACCAAGCTTATTTTTTTAAAAAAAACTTTTAAAACTCTAAAGAAATAGGACGGCAGAAGTTAGAACTTTACATGTCTATCAGCGTTAAAATGTTAAACTGTTCCACTGAATGAACTGCCAAAATTAGTGTATTATAAACAAGCATTTAGCCCTGTATAAAAATGGAATGTGATTCTACATTTCCCCCAACACAAAAGGTTAAAATGGGTAATAGTGCACTTAGTGTAATACTAGTCTCCCAAAGTCCAAATCTAAATTTCAAAGTGCAAAGAACTTAAAACTATTCCTAATGTTTCAAAATTTAAACCTCTATCTTTTGAAGAATCTCTACACTTTCTTACTTCCATTCCCCCCCCTCCACCATGCTACAATATAAAAAGGCCTGAGCAAAAGTATAAGCTTTCAATTTCTCCTCAGATACCTCACTAAGCATTGAGAGACTGTTTCTGGCAGTGTTCTGAAGAAAGCAACAAGTTAACATATCAATGTTTATTTCCAATGTTCCTCTTATTTTTCAGGCCAGTTATGGGAAGTGAGTATGTTTGAATAGCCAATACCATCCTTTGACATTTGAGGGGCAATATTTGCAATTGGGTTAAAATGGGTTAGGGAAAAGACTGATGTCTGCCCAACGGTAGATAGTGTTGTCATCAGATAAAGGGAGAATGGGGATACAACAATGCAGAACAGTGTAAACACACACACACATTTGTAACTGCTTGGACCAACCTTGTTCTGGATAAAAGGAACTGTTTAACCTCTTCACTATTTTTCTCATACTTTTACAGTATATCTGAATAACACTGTTAGCTATAAATAACCGATTTCAGTAGTTCAGAATTGCACATAATCATTTCATAAATTGTCCCAACAACAGAAGTAGCTAGGTCAACGCCTTTTGTTCTATTTCTACAAAATTAACGTCTTAAAAATAATTGGCCATTATTTAGCAATATTTGTGGTCAACTGATAGAGCATTTTGGCCACCTAACGTTCATCTAGCAGAAATGAACATCCTGTCCCAGTAAGGCAAATCCTAAACCTAGGGCACAGACATTTCTGCATCTGAACTCTCAAAATGCCTCTCATCCTCTGGAACGGAGCTTATTTCTGAAAAAGGCACAAGCAGAAGGGAGGAATTGTGTCCAGATGATATCTAGAGGGGCTCAAGTGCTTCAAGCTAAGGCCAGCCCCAGGATTCACCTACAGCAGAGATGGATGGGCAAAGTCCTGTCCTCCATATGCTGTTCAGTTCCAGCCCTCCGCCCCCATTTCACATTCCTCACCACGGGCTACGCTTGCTATGGATTATGGGAGCTGTAGTCTGACAATAGCCAGAGGACTGCATTTTTGCCCAGGGTTAGCTCTGGGACAGGCCCAGATGAGGAGCCAAAAAATCCCAGGGAGGCAGTGAGAATTGTGACGTCTTTGTACCAAAGCTCTATTTCCATGCTTTGCTGTCAATTCCATGCTTGCACCTTCCGAAGGCGGTATAGTCTATCCTCCTAAAAAAGGTCCATGGTAGATGCTGGGGTGGGTGGGTGGAACCACCAGTATTGGCCAACCCACACTCACAATCCATCCAAGGGTGCCCATCTTTTCCTTCTATGCTTGAACACTGAATATGCCACAATCTTCCACTGTGGCATCTGGGACAAAGTGTGAGGAAGGGAAAGTGATTTATCAGTACATGATTAAAAAATAAGCCATGCTGAGTCCAGTTGTTCCTGCCAGAGGAACTGGCCAGCATTAACGCCTGTAGGATAGAAAGAAATGTACCAGTGCTAGGCTGGCATGGCTGCTTAATCTAGAACAGGATTCTTTCTAAACCAGGTTATTTGAAGGAGACATCTTCAAAACTGGGTAGTAGAAGAAAGCAAGGGTACTCTAGCTGAATTCAAGAGTGAGTCATGAGGCTTGAGAGACCTTGTCTTTCAGCTTAGTACTTAAAAGCAGTCCGCCCACCCACCAATAAATAAACGGCTTTGTTAATTTTCATTCCACATCATCCCAAACCTGCCACATTCTTGTCATTTATCAAACTAATATTTTAGGAACATGTTCCATTTGGACCTCAGCTAAGAGAGGAAAACCTTTGTGTCCATCGTTCTGAAGCAAATAGAGCACCGATAGGCAATCTGCATACCTTGAAGGCCCCTCAAATGCCACATTTAGAGTTTTGCCTTGACTTATTTTTTCCACATGTCTCTATGCAAGTCTTGTTTTCTTCTAAAAATAAACCTTTAAAAACTGCATTCTTCGCTGCAGATCTTTAGCAAACCTCTCAGCCCACACAGCCTGAGAATGGTGGTACACACAGCAGCAATTTCAGCATTGTCCAATACTGCCCAACTAAAGGCTGGTTGTTTTTAAAACTCCCTCTCCCATCCCTCCCATCCCCTGGTGTCTCTTGATGCAGCTCTCAGTGGAACTGGCATTCGAAGGCAACATGAGTGGCAACTGCTTTCCTCAGTCACAGAACAGGCCACATCCAGGCAGCCCACCGACAAGGAAGAGAAGGCAGCCCTTCATTTTCAATTCACCACCAGCACATTCTCCTGCAGTGGGGTTCTGTTGGGGGGGGGGAGAAAAGAAAAGATCCATCAAGCTTTGCCCAAACCTGTCCCCCTCCCCATAACAAAGGCCATGTGGCACCTAAGCAAAGGTAGAGCTTGGGAGAGGTAAGTTAGAAATGACTTGACTACCTGTAAAAAAAGTTGTAGGGAGAAATGGGCAATGACTCAAGCATGCAGCAAAGTTATAATCCAAATAACTGGAACAAATAATTGGTTTGCTAAAAGGGTGGTACAAAAATCTGACAGGCACATTTCCTAAGCCCTGGATCAGAGAGCGAGCAAGCATGCCGGAACTCCCTTTCTGGAGCAAACATGGAGGCGTTCCACTGAAACTGCTTGAACCCAAAGAAAACTGCTGGAGGCATGGGCAGTGACTCCAGTCCCTGACTTTACAGACTTACCGCTCACAGCAGCAGAAGATGGAGCATGAGGAAGTACTCTCCCTGCGGAATTTGCCCGATTTGGGACTGTCCTTGCACTCTGCTATATAGGCATGGAGCAGTGTGACGGTGGCTTCTCCCTCACACTGATGCTGGAAGAACAAGAGACAGAAGCGATCACATGGGGCACCTGTGGCCAGCTGGCCTAGTGTTCCCACCAGCTTTCCAAAGGACAGAACACAACTTAAAGCAATCAGCATGATGGGTGGGAGTCACTTGGGCCCCCAACACCACTTCTGCAGTTCCCAAAAGTCTCCCTTTCTCTCCAATTTGGGGAGTGAAAAAAGAAGACTTAGTTGTTAAGCTCTTGTTCTAGAGCAGGGGGCTCGAAGCTCCCGGCAGGACTAACCTTGATGGTCTCATAGGAGCCAGTGATGAGAGCAATGAAGAGGCTGAGCACCATGTAGATGAAGAGACTGATGAAGGTGTACAGATAGAGCTGGCTGAAAAGCCACACCAAGTAGCTGCTCTGCTGCATGGAGGCAAAGGTCACAAACATGTCGTCTCCATTGATTAGGGAGAAAAGGCACTCTGACACCATGGAGAGCGTGCGGAACTGTAACAAAAAGGGCAGGGAAGGGAGGATGAGGAACCTCAAATCTGGAGTCACAAGAAGCAATCAGCAGAACCAGGAAGGCTAAGGTGTCTTCCTGCCTCCTGCCCTTCCTTGGCGAACACCTTTCTATTTGGACTAGCTTTGATCACTGACTGGCTGAAAACAAAGTCACTCAGGAAAGGCCTTTTAAAGGGGTGGGAGATGCACTTTTCATCATGGGCTTTTACTTCTTCTCAAATTGCCTTAATTTAGCTCTTGTTTTTAATATGTTTTGATTCTATTTTAATATTACAGCTTAGAATGGTTTTAATTCATGTTGCGAGCCACCTTAAATCCTGCTTCATTCATTCATTCATTCATTCATTCATTCATTCATTCATTCATTCATTCATTCATTCATTCATTCATTCATTCAGCCTTTCTCCTTTAAAAGGACCCAAGATGGCTTACATAACTATTATTTAAAAGCTAAAAACAGTGTATGAATAATGTATATGAATAATGTATTCTCAAAGGCTTGCACGGCCGGGATCTGATGGTTGTTGTAGGTTTTTCGGGCTGTTTGGCCATATTCCAAAGGTTATTCTTCCTAATGTTTTGCCAGTCTCTGTGGCTGGCATCTTCCGAGGACAGGAGTAGGTACTCATTTTACCAACCTCAGAAGGCTAAGTCAACCTTGAGCCTGTTACCTGAACCGGTTCAGATGAAACTCAAGTCATGAGCTGAGTCTTGACTGAAGTACTGCAGTTTAACCACTGCACCAGGAAGCTTTTTAATAATAATAAAAAAGAATTAAAACAAAGAATTATGTTAAAATGGTAAATAAAATCAGTATTGAAACACATTTAAAACAATAGGACAGAACAATCCATTTAAAACATCTCTCACACCACCGGCCATTAAGGAAAAACCTGTCTGAAGAGAAAGGTCTTTGCCAGCTTGCAGAAGAAAAGCAAAGAAGGGGCCAACCTAGCTTCCCGTGGGAGGGAGTTCCAGAGTCTGGGAGCAGCAACAGACAAGGCTTTCTCCTGTGTCCCCACCAAGCACACCTGTGAGGGTGATGGGACCAAGAGAAAGGCCTCCCCCGATGATCATAATGCTCAGGCAGGCACTAAGTATAGTATCATGGTCAGAGTCCTGTTCGTCACAGCCAGTATTGTGACAGTTCCATCAACAGGCTAGAGTCCAGGGCTGCTCACTCAGTCCTCATCCATACTTCCAACTCTAGCCACAGCATCTTTATCATATTTCAGACAGGCAAGATTCTCATTTACAACCAGAGCTAGAAACCTCCACTCTATAACGCTCAGTTAGAACCAATTAATTCATTTTTTCTCTTTGGAATTTAATGGGTTGGCAACCAAGCAGTGTAAGCAGCCATTAATATGTCAAACAAGACAAATTTTGATCATTTGCTGTGTAAACTCTCCAAAGATATGAGCAATTCTGCCCTGACCGAACTAAGATGTGTGTTATTTTGAGAATGTCCACTGCTTTCTCTGTGTGGACACCAGTGACACCATCACTGCTTCACCTTCTGTACCAGGTCCAGCATACCACTCTTCCTCTTCCACATACCTTAACATGGTAGGGTCCCAGCACAATCCAGCCACAGAAGCAGTAGCCCAGGTAGATGACTGCCACACAGCAACAGAAGCGGATGACATTGGGGAAGGCAACCCGCATAGTGACAATGAGGATCTGGAGAGAAACAGACCAAGAAAACTTCAGCCAGGAAAAGCAGAACCTGAGGGAGCCAAGTTCAAGTTCTAAGCCAACTCCAACCTGCTGTGCAGCTTCTGTCAAGCCACCAATAATACACAGTAACAAGGGCCGGCAGCTGTAGGCCTGCACTAGGTATGCAATAAATGAAGCTGCAAAATTTGCTAAGGGTTCTATCACTACAAGAATCCCAGGTTCCATTTTTTAAAAAGAGGAAGCAGAGGAATCATCTCAGGTTTGTGCTTTTCTTACAGAGGCACATGTCATGATAAGGGAGGGAGGGAAGAAAAGAAAGGCACTGAGCTCACATTGTACTTTTGGAAGAAGCTGAGGTAACGCATGACTCCAACCCAGACCAAGAGCGTTGAGGTGCCCAAGAGGATGCCACACACATCATAGTTGGCGAAGTTCTGCAAACAAACAACATGTTAAGCACGGCTGCTCTTTGGCAACAAAAGATACGGGGGGGGGCAAGGTGCACTCTGCAACCTAGGCACTAAACCCTTTTCGATGTCCATCACCTGCCTGGACAGTTTCTTACCTTAGACTCAATCCCAATCTTCATGACAGTCCCAGAGATAGTCAAGATGTCGCTCATCACCAGCAAGATGTACCAGCCGTTCACAAACTCCATGCGGTCCGAAAAGCAGATATTTTGGTTGTAGCGGCGCTGGAAGAACTGGCCGAACTCCTGTATGCAAAGAAAAGGCCAACTTAGTTCCAAACACAAAACTTCCTGAACCATTTACCCAAGTCCCTTCCTTAATCGCTCTCCTGCCTTCTTCCTTTGCTCCAGAGAACTGAACTAATACTCCTTAAACTTTCAAAATCATCAATGGACTTGAGATTTGGACTACTTCGCTACTTCCCAACACTGATGGTTCACATCTTGTTAGGCATCTCTGGAGAGACTACAGGCCATTCTGTGCATCAATTTCAGGCCTAAAACAGACCCATATAAGGAGGTGAACAGCCATTAAATGGCCAAGTGTACCCTACCAGGGGCCTGAGCTTGAACTGGACACTATTTGTTTGTCACGGGCTATCTCTACCCCAGAGGGAAAAAATCCAGCAACTCCTAATCTCTCTTCAGGGGGGAAAAGTGACCATTGGAAGAAGAGAATACAACAATGAAAGCTTAGAGCAAAGTAAAAGCAGTCATCCTCTCAAACCTACTATGACCTTAGAATGTTAACGGCTGAAAACTACGTTCAACTGGTGAGCTGATTTAGATATGGTCAGATTTACCTGCAATTTGTCCCTGTATTGATTTTAGTGAGGTCATGTATGATAATTAACACCTCATTTTTCTGTCTCTCCCTCTGGCTCAGGCCCATCGTAACAGGACATATCTTCTTCTCTTAAATAAATGTGTGTGCGCATCATTGTGTTGAAAGGGTGTGATGTGTGATTTCCACACACTCTTCAAATCCTTCCTCTTTCCATGTGTTTATGCAGCACCAAGCACGGGGATGGGGGAGCACCATCAGAAGGGAGAATGAGGAAGTGGAAAAAAGGAAGCTAAACATAATGTATTACAGCAGAGGCACTCTGGTCTAGCCAGGCTCTGAAATGTATGGGGTCCAAGCCTACAAATACCACCACCCCCTTATTTATCTGTTTCCCCTAGGATCTCGAAGAGATCTTTGGGCTTCTCCCCTTTACTGGAGCTACTCAGGAGCAAAGATGCTGCCTTTTCCTATCTGGTACCAGGAAACACCCCCCTGCCCAGAAACAGAGGTGCCCATCAAAGCAGTGCTCACAAGCTGCAGCAGAAGCCCCCTTATGATTGAGCGGGAACACAAGACGAAGGACAGCACGCAGACGAGGAGCACAACCACATCAAAGAACATCCGGAAACGGTTGTCTCCTATGAGAAAGGAGGAGGACAGAGATGAGTTTGGGGAATATACAACTCACTGCAGTGAACAAGTGTAATTACCCTCTCCCTACCCAAAGATGTTGCACACTTGAGTTGCCTTGATCAACGTGTACAGAGGGTGCAACAGAAAAGAGCAACTGGACAGCAGAAGGGATGCTGCATGAAAGAAGCCGTTTTATTTTTTATGAGAAATGAAGTCATCAGAAGGGGAGCAAGGTGGCTCACAAAAAGTGAGCACGCAGGGGGAGAAAAAAAGAAACTGGTGCAGAGGAGAAAACAGCCTGGGTTGTTAACGGTTAGAATAATTACACCTAACTCAGCCAAACCACCCAGGAGAGAGATGTCTGGATCATTTGAATGGCTTTTAGAACCACTTAAGGGGGGGGGCTATCACAAAAGGCAAAGCTTTGTGGGTTCACAAATGTCATACAGCATCCATCATTGTCAGCAACAGAGAAGCAGAGAGAGAGAGACACATGTATTGAGCAAGCGACCCTCTGTTTGGGCTTTGACTTAATTTGTACCCTGCACTTCTATCAAAAACAGGAGCCAAAGTGTCTAAAAGTAAAATGAATAAAAAAAAGTTTGGCTACAAACACTCAGACTAAAAATATAAGGCAACTTTTTAAAAAAACCCTCAATTAAGGGAGAATCATCACCCAGTCAGATTAAAAGTCCATTTTAAAACAACTGAACTGTGCTGAAGGTAGGTCCTTTGCCTGCCGCACCTTCAAATACAATAGTTTTATAGAACCAAATGTCCTTTAAACCAAAGAGACTATTGACACTGTTTGAGGTTCTCCTCACTCCTAATGGAGGATGTCACTTTCCAAAAAGTCTGCATGTGTGCCATCTCTCTCTCTCTCTCTGTGCCTATGTGTAGGTGTCCCATTGCTACCTTTGCCATAGACACTCGGGTCTTTGCATTCCTGGATGTCCACTTTGTTGTCCAAGTGGATCTTCACTCGGCCACTGTGTGCTTTGTTGTCAAACGTGATCTAGAAGAGTAGGAATATAAGGTCCATGAGAAACCAGGTAGAATTTCACTGGCCAGCCTGGCAGAAGCCCAAGACACTCTGGCTCTGCCAGTCAAGATGGCAAATGAGAGGCTCTGGCAGAGGCTCTGCCCTCCTAAGACAGGGGCACTCACTGTGATAGAAAAAGTGTAGCAGTCTGGAATCTCATTGTTGATTATTGTTTGAATGTTGATGGCTTTCAGCTTGAACTGGATGGTGACATTAATGAGCCTGCAAGAGACAAGGTGTAGAACGCTCCATCATAACCTTTCATTAACTTACATAACAGCCTGATTATGCCAGGCAGAGGAGAAAGCTTCTTTCAAAGGAGCTTCGCTATTTCAGCTCAGAAAAAGAGATGGGTAACAACTGCAAATGTAGCAGTGATAATACAGTAAGGGGGCTATTTAGGATCAAGGAAACGGTGAGTACAGAAGTAAACACAACATATCATTGATAAGTGTAAGACTAGAAGACAGAAACCTTAAGATTTGTGAAGATGAAAAACATTGCAATGTCCCTTAAAACCAATTAAGGAAGGGATGGGGTGTCAATGATTTAAAAATAGCGTTGGAGGAAAACTTTTATAAAGGAAAGCTTTGCTCTCTATGACTTCTGAGACAGAGAGGTTCCCACCAATGTTTCACAAATACAGTGATGCCTAGCTAGACGATGACTTTTTTTGAGCGATGTTGCACTTCGCAAAACAATTGTTCCTATGGGCGATTTTCACTGGACAATGTTTGGGTCCTTGCCTTGCAAGACTTTTTTTTACCCTGTTTTTTTTTAACCCTGTTTCACAAGACAGTTACCCCGCCCCATTGGAACACATTACAGTGGTGCCCCACATAGCGACGTTAATCCGTTCCAGATTAATCGTCGCTATGCAAAAACATCGCTAAACGGATCAAAAAACCCCACAGGTACGCATTAAACTTTGTTTAATGCGTTCCTATGGGGCCCCAAACTCACCGTTCAGCGAAGTTCCTCCACAGCACCGCCATTTTCGCACCCTCGGTAAGCGAGGGCAGGGCGCGAAAATGGTTGCGGTGGCCATTTTGGGCATCCGGCGGCTATTTTGGAACAGCCGATCAGCTGTTTAAAAAAACATCGCAATGCAAAGATCGGTAAGCGAAACACTTACTGATCATCGCAATGCGATGTTTTGCCATTGAAAACATCGCAATGCGATCGCATTAGCGATCTGAAAAAACAGATCGCTATGTGGATTCGTCATTAAACGGTGCGCTCGTTAAGCGAGGCACCACTGTAATTACATAAAACCTACTGTTTATCCCAAAAAAGTGGGGGAGAAAGTATATGCTGCTGGCTTTCCAGGGTCTGCCTCCTGGAAAGCCAGAAGCATATACCTTCTCCCCCACTTTTTTTGGGATAAAAAAGTAGGTCTTATATAATTAATGTGTTTCAATGGGAGAAAAAAACCATCTTGCAAAGCATCACCAATGGGGCTATGGCTGCATATTTAAATAGTAGAAGACAGTGAAAACAGCCAGGAACCAAAGAGAAAAGAGATTGTAAAAACACCAGGGAAATCACAAACACAATCCCCCATTAACACAAATTATGTAGCTGAGCTCCCCACATTTGGGGAAATCACAGGGATCAGCAGCATACCTAAAGTGCAACAGATGAGCCTCCCCCTGGAAAAAAACCACTTTTATGACATGGTATTTCCCCTGCAAGGTATGAGTTGGAATGGCCCTTGCAACTCCAACTCCCTTCTGTCCCGTGACCTCCCTCCCAAGGCATGGTGACCCCCTGGCTTCACCTCCCACTCAGTACAGGGCTGCACAGCCTCAGTCCCACCAGAGGCCAAGAGAGCTCCTCAATGTTTTGGGGTGCCCTGCAGGACCCCTGTCAGGGGCTTGGTGTTCCTCCCACAATCCTCTATTGCACAGTTATTAGCATAAGGGCCATTCCAACTCATACCTTGCAGGGGAAATACCATGTCATAAAAGTGGTTTTTTTCCAGGGGGAGGCTCATCTGTTGCACTTTAGGTATGCTGCTGATCCCTGTGATTTCCCCAAATGTGGGGAGCTCAGCTACATAATTTGTGTTAATGGGGGATTGTGTTTGTGATTTCCCTGGTGTTTTTACAATCTCTTTTCTCTTTGGTTCCTGGCTGTTTTCACTGTCTTCTACCATTTAAATATGCAGCCATAGCCCCATTGGTGATGCTTTGCAAGATGGTTTTTTTCTCCCATTGAAACACATTAATTATATAAGACCTACTTTTTTATCCCAAAAAAAGTGGGGGAGAAGGTATATGCTTCTGGCTTTCCAGGAGGCAGACCCTGGAAAGCCAGCAGCATATACTTTCTCCCCCACTTTTTTGGGATAAACAGTAGGTTTTATGTAATTACAGTGGTGCCTCGCTTAACGAGCGCACCGTTTAATGACGAATCCACATAGCGATCTGTTTTTTCAGATCGCTAATGCGATCGCATTGCGATGTTTTCAATGGCAAAACATCGCATTGCGATGATCAGTAAGTGTTTCGCTTACCGATCTTTGCATTGCGATGTTTTTTTAAACAGCTGATCGGCTGTTCCAAAATAGCCGCCGGATGCCCAAAATGGCCGCCGCAACCATTTTCACGCCCTGCCCTCGCTTACCGAGGGTGCGAAAATGGCGGTGCTGTGGAGGAACTTCGCTGAACGGTGAGTTTGGGGCCCCATAGGAACGCATTAAACAAAGTTTAATGCGTACCTGTGGGGTTTTTTGATCCGTTTAGCGATGTTTTTGCATAGCGACGATTTGTGGTGGTCATGTAGAGCAGCGAAACAGTATTGGAAAAGAGTACATGCTGTGTGGCAACCAATATTGCTTTGTAAGATGCCATTAATCCCAGAACTGTTTTTATTGAGTATGATACCTGATAACATAGATAAGACAAAGGATTATATAGTTATATACATAGTCACTGCAGCCAGAATTCTTTATGCCAAAAATTGGAAAAGTCGACGGTACAGAAACAAGAAGATTTTATAGAGAAGATACGGGAAACAGCGGGGCAACCAATATTGCTTTGTAAGATGCCATTAATCCCAGAACTGTTTTTATTGAGTATGATACCTGATAACATAGATAAGACAAAGGATTATATAGTTATATACATAGTCACTGCAGCCAGAATTCTTTATGCCAAAAATTGGAAAAGTCGACGGTACAGAAACAAGAAGATTTTATAGAGAAGATACGGGAAACAGCGGAAATGGACATTTTATCAGAAGTGATGAAGGACTATCCTTTACAAAAGGCAACTGAAAGATGGGATTTATTCTATAAATGGATTGAGTCAACAGACATCGTATGAAAAGCATACATCGAAATGAGAACTTAAATCTGGAAGGCAGAAAATAGTAAAAAGAGTAATCTGGAATTGTGATATGGCAATATGTATAGAATGGATGTTAGTATGTCATTGTTTCTCCTTTTCCCCCCTTAACCTCAATCCCTTTTTCCTTTCTGTCACCCTTTGTTAAAAATAAAATGTAAAAAAAGTGGCTCAGAAATCTGAGAAACAGGACAGTTGAAGAAAGAGGAACTGAATGCAGCAAGACCTGGACCTTAAAGATGGCTGTGCCACACTACAGAGAGAAAAAATCCTGCCTCTCCTTTAAGCTTCAGTGTGAGCCACATATAGCCAAATGGGCTTTAAGCATCCTTTTTATCCCCAGGACAGCAAAGGTACCCCTGCAAAAGCACTTACCTGTGATGACCTTGGGGTCAATGTTGAAGGTGTCATTGGCTGGGTCAATACTCCCTTTGCGGTAGTATTGCTGGCAGAGCATGAGTGCCGACTGGTTAGCACTGTGCGTGCGCACATAGGCATAACGTCCGATTGTTTCATTTGGAATGGCCAAGTACTGCAAAAGGAAAGTGGCCAAGGCAATACTAGTTAGTCCCATCTCCTTCACATAGGCTCCCAAACCACACACTTGCTGGGTCCCTCCTCACCTTGTCCACTGCATAGAAGATGTGGTCGTAGACATCTGCCTGGGTATAGACCGCGTGAGTCTCATCTGATCCATCTGCATAGTCCTTCAGGAAGAGGTGTTTGAATGTAATTGTGTTCTCTTCTTTGAAAGTTACCACCATCTGATTGCTGAGCCCAAAAAGTACAAGCTGTAGGAATGGAAAGCAGAGAGCACAAATTCAACTGAAGAGAATGCAAGACCTTTAGTGCAAGCTTCAGTGCCCATCTCACCGTGTGCTCTCCTCCGTTTCTGAAGCAGATCTCACTAGGCAAAGGGGATCAACGGCCAAGAAAAAGGAGAGCTACCTTTGGAAAAGTACATGCAGTGCCCTGTTATCTTTCATCTAGGGCCTGTTTTTGAATGGTGTACAGTGGACCCTCTACTTACGTAATTAATCCGTATTGGAATGGTGGCTGCAGGTCAAAAAGTCTGTAAGTCGAGTCTCCATTGACCTACAATGCATCGAAAACCATTTTTGTGCCATTTTGGTTTTTTTCTGGTCCTTAGGTCGATTCTCCAGCTGCAAGTCGAACCTAAATTTTGTAGCCAGAGAAGTCTGTAACTCGAAAAGTCTGTAAGTTGAGCCGTCTGTAAGTCAAGGGTCCACTGTATGTGTTTGCTTTGTTTTTTGTAGATTTAGTTGCTCCAGGTGGTGTTTTAGTCTTTATATCAAGAACAGAAATGAATTGTGTTGGGCAGTCTCAGAACTAGTTACCTTAACAGTTTAAACCCCATTTCTCTGGAGTGAGATGTACTATAGGGTGCTCCCAGATAGGGTTTCTATGATACATGTTATCAATGCTACAGACGTTCTCATTTCCTTGTGAACTTCCATGTTTCCCCAAGGTTTTTTCCTGCCTATTTTGTTTTACAGAAACTCTGTTTAGATGAATTAGAACCAGAATTGGCTCTTTGATTGATAATGCTTGGAGTCCTGTGTCCGGAAGCACTTCCAGTCCATTCTTATACTTGTTGAGAAGACCCCGACTTCAGAAATTCAAGCATCAGATTCTGGATCTACTATCGTAGAAGAGGCCCAGGCTTTTTGACCAGAAAAAAGAAAGGTTGTGAGTGACTCATGATCAATGACTTTGCTTATATTGTTTTGAGGCTAGTAGGGCCTGGCCCAAACCAGTGACAGGAAGAACAACAAGAGCTTCAGTAACAACTGTGTCTAGTCAATTTAACAGCAAAAGTGATACGAAAAATCTGAGATAACTGTTGTCTTGGGCTGATGTAAGTGTCTCCAGCTTTGACAATGAATCAGTCTAAAGAGGGGTAAACAAATCAGTGGTCTGTGTGACTCAACAATTAGTGAACAGCTCTATCTGCTGCTCCTGGAGGACAGAATCTTTTTCTCCCTCTACAAATGGTACTTCATTCCCTTAGCCAATCTTACTCTGCTAAATGTCCACTTCATGCATAATTAGGTCTGTCCCAGCTTACTGAGGGGGAAAAAAGGAGTTGGGTATGCTTAACTACGCACAAGATTATGTTTTAAGATATGGAAAACAGCATCATTTGAGTTCCCTGAAAACTCTTAACTTGCCAGACAGATATTCTTCTCTATCAAGCAGCTTCATCATTGGCTGTACAGTACCCAAAGCAAAATCGACACGACTACTTCTAGCACAGTCCACAACCAGATCTTTGCCCTGTGGAAACGGGCTCCCCACTGGCAGACTTTAAAGCATGCCCCTTGATTCTCCTATCAGCCATAGCCTTATACATTTCATGAAAAATATGGAGAGAGGCCTTTCTATCTCTAAACAGGCTTGAGTGTCTCTCCCACATCACCGTTTCTCCAGAGAATATTGCTTATATGCGGGATCTTTTTGTTAAAGCCAGAATCAATCAATCAATCAATCTTTATTTATTTATTCTCTCTCTCTCACACACACACACACACACACACAAAGAGAGAGAGAGAGAGAGCAGCCAAGGCCACTCTGGGCAGTTTCTTCACAGGTCTCTCTCATTTATTTATTTATTTATTTTATTTATATCCCGCCTATCTGGTCAAGCGAGGACCACTCTAGGCGGCTAAGCTTCTTTAAGTAATTAAAATCCACATAGTTAATTGTCTTGAGTAAATATTAACCAGAACACAGCCTGATAATTACATAGTCTACAGGTTCTGCAGACTGTGGGTAGAGTGCATATTTTAAAAATCTAGTCTGTTATAGCCTTCTGTGGGTTGCTTCTTCCTTACTCTCTGCTGGGATGGGGAACCAGCGGTCATCCCGACCCTCTCAACCTTTGCTCTGAAGACTCCTGACGTACCTGGATGGTGACTATTAAGATCTTGACCACTTGAAGAACCAGCTTGAATGGCTTCCTGCCTTTGGCACGGAACTTATCACAGGGGCTCATAAAGAAGTACTTGAGGCGCCTGCGGAGTTCCTCTTCTTCTGGTTGAAAGGAAGCAGGGCCTAAGCCAGATCTTGTATCTCCATCCTGAGACCCATAGCCAGTCACTGGGGTCAACAGCTTCTGTGTCTCTGTGGGGGAGAGAAAAATTATCTTCACAGCTCCAACCTCAAAAAAAGGGTGTGTGTGAAATGCTCTCTGAGCATACTGCTGCAATCTAGAGCATAGTGTGATCAAGCCAGGCTAAGGGAGTGAATCATATCTGCGACTCAAGTAGTATTATCCCTGGCTATTTATACCCTTCTGACATAAAATCAGACAAACCAACACTTAAATGCAGACTTTGCAATGTTCACAGGGGCTTCCCTCCTCCTCACCCATTTTGCAGCTCAGCGAAGTCAGCAATTATCGGACTTCTCTCTCACAAGACCAGCTCAGTGGCTTCTTTGTACTTCTTGGTCCCCTCTGAAGCACATGTTAGGTCAACAAGAACCTAAAAACAGGCAAAACACAACATGAGCTAATGTCTTTCAAGTGACTGTAACCGCTAACCACATCAACTCTAGGATGACTGAGCAGCCAAGACAGGCTCTACCCCCAAAATGATTTCTTTAGTGGTTTACACTATTCCAAGGCAAAAACCAGGCAGTACAGTATCTGGACGACTCTCTTACAGAGAGTGAGGAGAGGGATATAAGAAGCACTGCTGCAAATCAGCAAGGAAACGAACATTCTTGCAATACAATTGTGTGTTTCCATCTGCCAGCCCAAAGGGGAAACTGTCAACAGGAACTAAAGTGCTGACCAGCAGACACAAAGTTCAGCACACTGAACAAAGAAATGAAAAGCACCACATGTTGCTAAAACCAAGGTCCACTGCATAACAGCCTACATACCCAAGGTTTGTATAAAAATACAAAATATGTCCCCTCTGAAAGTCTGTGAGGGCGGGACGGTTCCTAAACTCCAGTGATGATTTAGCTGTTATTAATCTGTTACAGATGCATACTACCCTTCCCATACGGTCCCATCTCCCCCATTTTATCTCCATAACCTTGGAAGGTTGATGAACTTGAGAAAATACTGACCAGGCCAAGTTCATTTTGGAAGCTTTGTGTCCAACCAGGTCTTAAACACTGTCTCAAGCATAGACCTTTCTAAACACTATACAGCATACTGTTTCTCAAGCAACTGCACCCCTATATTAAGTTTTACTTACTCATTTCTCCTCCTCTGTGACTCCCCCCCACCCAAAAAAAAATTAAGGCATATGTTGCCAGGACAGACCTTTTCAGGAACAGGCGCCACTGGGTGTTGGCACACTAGTTTTAATTGTGTAAATGCACTCCTGGCCACCGCCAAAACCTGGGCATTCAGGCTCAGAGATTAAAGGAAACCGCCAAGCTGCACACCTGTGTTTTTAGAAGGAGTGCAACCCCATCCAGCACAAGATTGCATCTTTATTCCTTGATCTGCCTTTCAACTCACCAGGAGCGCCTCCACCTTGTCTGGATTAAGTTTCAGTTTATTTGCCCTCATCCAGTCCATTATGGATACCACACACTGATCTAGAGCCAAAACAACTTCCTCAGATTTAGATGGAAAGGAGAAATAGAGTTGAGTGTCATCCCATACTGGTGAGGCAGAATCCTCAAACTCTAGACAACTACTCCCAGCAACTTCATATAAATGTTAAATGACATGGGAGACAAAACCAAACCCTGAGAAACCCCACAGAAAAGAGGCGATGGTGTTGAACAGGAATCCCCCAGCAACAACTTCTGAGTTCTCTTATTCAGGAAGGAGCAGAGCCACTGTAAAACAGTGCCCACAAACCCCATCCAAGAAAAACAAGCCAAAAGGATACTATGATTGATGGTATTGAAAGCCACTGAGAAAGCAGCAGAACCAACAGTGATACCATCCCCATCACACTTCCTCCGTCTTTTACTCCTTGAACAATGAATTTTAGTAACGTTCTTGTCTAACAACAATCTATAGTAGCAGAAGTTCCATTTATTGTTAAAAACTAGAGAAGCTGTGCACATTTCAATAGATTTTTATTGTAGGCTGTCTTGCTAGCCCAAATAACTAAAAAGCTGTTTGGAAGGTCACTCCTCAAGCATCAGTAAGTATGCCCCTGAACCAGTGTACTCTTCCCATGCCACAGACTGTTCCGTACTAGGATGCCACTCATAGCAGTGGACTGACTCTCTTCCAAGACAGTTGAGCAATCCCAACCATGGAATGGGTGCGTTGGGATCCCATTTGGATCCTGAATGATAACAAAAAGAAGAACCCAAGGCAGGGAGAGGAAAGAAGAAGAAAAGAAAGAGAGCAGAGTATAAGAGAACTGATGGCATGTAACAACAACATCAGGGGAGATAAATTTGATCATTGTCGGGAGAAAATGAGGACTAGACACTGCAGAATCGGTCTCAAGCAAACCTGAGAATGCTCAACTTATTGCAAAACAGTAACAATCTCTATGTTGGAATACATTCACTTTACTCAAGTGATCTTGTTAAACTTGTTCATATCTGAGGTTGACTGCATGCACCCTTAATGATTCCATCTTACTCATTTGAATGGATTTTCTGGGCTGGATAGCTCAGTGGTTTAGCTATCCACGAGGGTGGGAGTTCAATTCCCACTCTGCCTCCTGCAATAAGAGCCAGTCTGTGTGGCCTTGGACAGCCAGCTGCACAGTCTCAGGGGGTCCCCCAGAAAAAGGGAATGGTAAACTACTTCTGAGTACTCTTTACTTAGAAAACCCTGGAAATGGCCACCATAAGGCAAAATTGACTTGATGACACATTATTATTATTATTATTATTATTATTATTCACACACACACACACACACACACACACACACACACACACACACACACACACACACACACACACACAGTGTGCCTCAGTAGGACTGTGATAAATCTTCAAACATTTCCACATTATTTAACCTCTAGGGCTCCCACACCCCTGACGTGCACACCCAGCCTCCTCACTCCCAGGTGTGTGTGTGGGGGGGTCTCAGCCTTTCTCCGGCAGCTTTTTCCTTAAGGGCTGTGAATAGTGGGGAAAGGAAGCTATGCCCTCAGGCCACTGAGTGGGGAGCAAAGGGGGGAGATCATTCTCCCCACAGGCAGCAACCACGACTCCACACACTCACCCTGGCTGTTATTGCAGAATGATGAAGACAAGGCATGGTGCCCACACCTCAGGTAAGCAAGCATCTCATGAAGGAGGCGCTTGCCCATGGAAGAGGAGCCCCAGAAGGGTGGCTAAAAAGAGAAGGTTTGTCCAGTATTGGAAAACGCTGCGCTGCAAGGACCAGGACTCCGGGGAGAGGGTCTGGGTTCGAATTCCTGCTCGGCCAAGGAAGCTGACGGTGAGGTGGCGGCGCTGCTGAAATTGCTCCTGAAATGGCTCGCCTACCTTGAAAGCCCTTTAAGCCTGTTCTGATTTGAGGGCACAACACACACACACACAAACACACAAAACAAACAGACGGGGCTTGCATTGTAAACAACCAGGGAGCAGGAGGAGGAGGAAAAGGAGGGAGGAAGCTCCACTCTCTGTCCCTTCCTCCGGGTGGGCACCCTTGCCACTCTTCTTCGCCCTGAGCCCCAAGAAGGCAGAGGACGGGACGACCTTCTGGGCCCCGGGGGTGCGCGTGCCCCTCGCTTACCTTCGGGGGGACCCCCCCATCGACCCGGCGCTGCCAGCAGAGAAGCCTCCGCGGCCGGCTCCGAAGTATAAACAAGAAACCCGAAACATCCGGTCTTAAGACCAGGAACGGCGGGGATGCCGCGGGCCCTGTCATGCGCAGTGGGAAGGGAAGGAGGGAGGGAGGGAAGGAGGAGAGCGCGTAGAGTTAGGAAAAGTGGTAGAGTAGTCCGGCGCTTCTGGTTTCTACACTAGGGATGGCCTGCTCAGTTTCGGTGTCTTCTTTTCTCCTTTCGTTAAAACCAAAACCTTTAGTCGGATTCACAGAAGGAAGAGACTTGCGGCATGGTTAGAGCTATTCTTTTTTTTTTTTTTTTTTTTTTTTGCTATGGCCTTGTGTGCTTTACCAGGATAGAGGCAAAAGCTACATGTACTGGCATTGTTGAGAAATAAGTGGAACATCAGAATAATAATTTAATAAATGGACTACCCCAATGGTTTGAAATTGCCTAGATAATGAAACAGAATCACAGAATCATGAAAGTTGGAAGGGGTCTCCCAAGGTCATCGAGTCCAACCCCCTTCTGCTCAGTGCAGGAATCCAAATCAAAGGGGGTCTGATAGATGGTTGCACAATTTTCTCCTGATTTCCCCCAGCACCTCCTGGTCCAGCCCAGTAATTTTATCTTTCACTGACACAAGTATTTAATTGGTGCCAACCGTACTTGATATCATGTGGGATGTGGTGGCGCTGCAGGTTAAACCGCAGAAGCCTCTGTGCTGCAAGGTCAGAAGACGAGCCGTCGTAAGATCGAATCCAGGTGATGGAGTGAGCTCCTGTCACTTGTCCCAGCTCCTGCCAACCTAGCAGTTCGAAAGCATGTAAATGCGAGTAGATAAATAAGTACTGTGAAGGAGAGATAGGAAAAAAGAGAAAGAACAGAGTGAGCCGTCCCCTCAAATAGAGATGTTGGAGAAAGAGGGAGAGATACGGGAGAGAAGTAATAGAAAGGGAAGAATTGATGGTGGAAGAAAGAGAAGGAAAAGAATCAAAGGGGAAAGAGGAAAAGGTCAACATCTGTTTGGTAGAGGAAGGAAAAGGGGAAAAGGAGGAGGAGTTAATTGGCAGTGTGGGAACAGAATATAAAAGATCATAAAGGGAGGAGAGTTTTCAGTATACAGAGAACGGCGACAACGAGGGAGGAGGAAAGGAAGAGAGAAACTAAAGACGGCGAGCTCAGATATGGGAAAACGCACGGGTTATTGGAGGACTTTCCTAATTTAAAGGTTGGAGGATTATTGCCAGACCCGGAGATAAAGAAGGAGAAAGGATTAGTAACAGAGCTGCAAGAATAGACAGTTGTGGTCTTTCCCCGAGGACAAGGTCATTGGAGGAAGGTAATCAGACCGGGTCCCACCTTCAGTCAACCCTGCAAGAGGGAGACTGGGCCAGACATCCTTGTTGTAGCACGATATGCGCGGTGTGGAGTGCTTCCATTGGGGAAGCCTACAGACTAGGAGCAGTTTGGATCAGCCCCTCAATAAACTTTCCTAATTTACAGTTGGAATTTTCATCATCACATTATGGACAATTACCTGATCTTAGTTGTTTGGATGCTATAGAAGTTGTTGTGGAATCACCAAGTGTTAAAGCAAATAAACCTGTTGATCTTTCAAAAGAGGCTCAGTGGTTATTTCCTGCCAAAAAGGAGGAACTGCTCCAGACCTCTAACGAACCCAATCACAGGTACCACCACAGTGGGAAGATAATGGCCTTCTGTGTCTAGTCACACTGGCCACGTGATCACAGAAACTGTCTACGGACAAAAGTTGGCTCTACGGCTTGGAGACGGGGATGAGCACCGCACCCTAGAGTCGGACACGACTGGACTAAATGTCAAGGGTGCTTGATATCTGCTGACAGAAATTAAATGAAGACATCCATGATTGGGAACTTACTGTACATGTGCAGAAAATGAAGAGGCCTATAGCACCATGCAAGGCTAACGCATAACAATGGAAGCCACAATGATCGTTTTAATTAGTTTTTCTTGTTATGCAACACTACTTTTTAGTGGAAAGGTGCATTGTACGTGTAATGAATAAATTATCACATTATAAATTAATACTGTAAATGAACTGCAAAGAGGCAGTCCCAAAGCCAGCAAAACCAGGGAACTGGACAGGGGACAGATTGTATTTATCTCCAGTGTGGAAGGGATTGTCACTCTCGAATTGGCCTTCTCAGCCACACAAGACACTGTTCCAAGACCTCCATACAGAGCACGTTACCATAGTCTCTCAAGACTGAAGGATGCCTACTACACAGCATTGTACATGTAATGAATAAATTATTAATAAACATGTAAAAGCAAAACAGAGTGGCTGTTTTTCATTTTGTAACTACAAAACTGCTCCAGGTAACCCACTTCTTTTCGTGTTCATTTCATATATTTATTTAATTTCCTTCAGTCCAGCCAATCTGTAGCCACCATAGGGATGGCAATAATGAACTGGATTCAAAAGTAGCTAAATTCTGTGAGTTTGAAATTCAAGAGTACAGTATAACAATATGCATATACAGCTTCTGCAATTTTTTTAAAAAATTCTTCCACCAACAGGTATTGTTTTTCATTTTTTCATGGTCATTTCAAATTTTCAGACATCCATGGGAGGACCAGTTCAACTAGGCCTGCCCGTCGCTTTGTTCCAGCTCCTCGCCAACCTAGCAGTTCGAAAGCATATAAATGGAAGTAGATAAATAGGTACCATCTCAGTGGGAAGGTAAGCAGTGTTCCGGTTCTAAGTCGCGCTGGCCACATGACAATGGAAACTGTCTTCAGACAAGTGCTAGCTCTACGGCTTGAAAACGGGATGAACACCGTCCCCCAGAGTCGGACACGACTGGACTAAAAATGTCAAGGGGGAAACCTTTAGTCTTTTCATGTCTACAGAGAACTTTAAGAGAAGGTTTATGCTATTCATCCTGGCTTCACCCTTCACAGACTCCTACTTTATGGTTTTACTCCAGACAAACAATATCATTTTAAAAATATTATCCATGGATGAAGTGAAGCCAGCTTTTTTCCTGTTGGACCCAAATCAGATTGATGGTATTGTTCAACAAGTAATTAATTTAATTTTAATGTGTTCCTTATACAACCTATCTCCAAACTCTGTGCAGGGCATGTTTAAAAACACATTTGTATAAATGTGTTTTAATTTTAAAAAAGAAAAAAAATCAACAGAATAAATTCTTACAAGAAGCCACAATTACCTAATTATTCCTACATTTCAAGAGTAGGATAAAATAAATTACCTGCATTTGAGATAGATATCTTCCCCTCAAATGCTGAACTTCTCTTCAAGACTCATTCAACTAAATCATTTGAGAAGGTAAAAGGTTGCTAAATTGTTTGCTTTTAAACGATGGGGTGCTAAGTTCCATGCCAAAGAGCTGTCCTTTTAACACTCTGTGATCTTTTAACGAGGAGGAGGAGCCCCAGAAGTGTACATTGGACTCAAGTAGAGTTGGCACCAATTAAATCGTTGTCAGGGAAAAGTAAAATTATTGGACTAAGCAAGGAGGCGGTGAGTGCTCCAAAGCTGGAGGAACTCTGGAGAAAATTAAGCTGCCCCAGTTTTCTGTCAGATATATTTTGATTTGGATTCCTGCATTGAGTGGAGGGTTGGACTCAATGGCCTTAGAAGCTCCTTCCAACTCCATGATTGTAGGATTCTATTTCATTATCGAGGGCTAGGCAATATCAAACCGTTGGGGTACTCACTTTAGCAACTTATTATGTTGCACTCCTTTCTCATTGTTGCCAATTAAGTGGAATTATCGAGGGCTAGGCAATATCAAACCCTTGGGGTACTCACTTTAGCAAATTATTATGTTGTACTCCTTTCTCATTGTTGCCAATTAAGTGGCTCATCTGTCTTACCCAGGCGGCTGATGGTCAAAATAAAGCACCAAAACCTCAGGGGTCAAGAGAGTCCATTTTATTCACTTGCAAGTGGGCTCAGCGTGTTTAAAGGATTTTTTCCACCTAAACCTGTATACCTTTTTGTTTGCTGCAGAAGATACATTTCCATGACTGCCTTATCAACAAAAGCCAGCAGTTGTTCAAGGCTACAAGCAAGCAAAAAGTTAAAAAAAAGAAAAGCAGAAACTAGTTCTATCCAGTATTATTAATCAGTGCATTCAGCAGCATCCTTATCTATCAGAAGATTCATGAGGAGGGGGTCATGAGCAGCCAAGAGCCTACATCTCCTGGGTCATTCGGTGGACAAAAAATGGAGTCACTCAGGGCAACATCATAATTGCTGATGCACATAGCCTTGACCTCCATCCTGGTTTTTCTAGGTCTTGACAGTGATTAATATTCTAGGTGCACAATCTCCTCCTCATCTTTTTTTCTGACTATTTCTTGTGTCCTACTGTACTCTTGTGTATCCCTTACTCGTGTTCTGGAGCGGCCTTTTTTGGAGCTCCTGGCTTATATCTTGGTCCAGCATGAGGTCCTGGCAGGCAAGGTTGCTTCACATCTGAGCTCACCTGATGGCACTGGCCGTCACTGATAGTATTACTGTGCTTCTGCTGGATGGTAGCATATGTTTCACAGGGAGACAGTAGTGGACTTTTTGACTGTGGCCTGATTTTTAGATCTTGACATGGTCCTTGTTAGTCCAGGTGACAGCTGGACCAGTATAAAAATTATTTTGAGACATGAGACCCATACTCCAATACACTGCAGGTTTTTGTTTATTACCCACAGCTAGGTGCGGTAATTGCTTGCCCCTAATCTGAGGACAAACATGGTTGGTAACTGCTCGCTTTGGGTCAGATGTTGCTGCTATGATAGTAGCTCCATATTCCCTAGCAGAAAGGATGAAGGTCCAGCAAGCAGTCTGGCCAGAGACAGGACACTTGCAAGAAATAGGGAAATTTCAGTCCCAAGTACTGTATTGCAAGCAACTCCGTCGCCAGACAATATGTTTTCTGCAATATGTGCACAGCCACAAGGGATCTCTTTCACACTTCTACCCAGTGTACCCTTTCCAGGCTCCTCCACCTCCTTATTAGACTGCAGTCTTAGAGGGACATTTTTCCCGCCCACACCTAGCTCTCCATATTTACCTCTTCGTGAGCATGTTAACTGTACTGGGAAGCAGACTAAGTGGTATTCAATGCCCCTTGGAGGCAAAGATGCTTCCTGCATGGCACTGGGCCTCACTATCTATGGGAATTGCTGGATAGATCAGTGGTTTAAGGCATATGGCTGTGGAACCAGAGGTTGAGAGTTCAATTCCCCTCTGTGCTTCCTTGACAGGGGCTGGACTTGATGATCCATAGGGTCCCTTCCAGTTCTGATCTCAGTCTACATGTCTCCCCTGGGAGATGTAAGCCAAGATCTAGCTGAGTTTAGCCTCAGTGCCTCTGCCTCCCAGCTTCTACTACAGTCCCTGTGGCCTCTGTGAATGTATTTGGGATGTGGCTCAACCATTGAATTGCATGCTTCATGGATTCTTTCAAAACTGAACTTTCTAAGCTGAATTCTATATTCTCACCAGGTCTGGCAGCGGAAGTTGAGATTTCTGTCTTGAATTTATATCTGGCCCCAATACTTGTGAGGTTTTGGAACAAACATACATTTTTTTGGTCTTCCTCTTTTTAATTTCCAAAACCCATATTTTTGTTGTTGTTTAGTTGTTAAGTTGTATCCGACTGTTCATGACCCCCGTGGACCCATCTATAGTTCTTCAGGCACTCTGTCCACTAAATTGAGTTCCTTAAATCTGTTCTTCACTTCCACTGGCTATTCACACAGGATTTGGTTTAGATTATACCTGAGTAGCCCAATGGTTTTTCCTACTTTCTTCTGTTTAAGCTTGAGTTTTGTTATAAGAAGCTGATGATCAGAGCCACAATCAGCTCTAGGTCTTGTTTTTGCTGACTGTATAGAGTGTCTCCATCTTTGGCTGCAGAGAATATAATCAATCTGATTTTGGTATTGTCCATCTGGTGATGTCCATGTGTAGAGTCATCTCTTGTGTTGTTGGAAAAGAGTGTTTGTGATGACCAGCTTGTTCTCTTGACAAAACTCTATTAGCCTTTGTCCTACTTTGTTTTGAACTCCAAGACCTTGTTGTTCCTTTTATCTCTTGACTCCCTACTTTAGCATTCCAGTCCCCTATAACGAGAAGAACATGTATCTTTGGTGTCAGTTCTAGAAGGTGTTGTAAGTCTTCATAGAACTGGTCAATTTCAGCCTCTTCAGCATTGGTGGTTGGTGCATAAACTTGGATTATTGTGATGCTGAAAGGTCTGCCTTGGATTTGTATTGAAATCATTCTATCATTTTTGAGATTATATCCAGTACAGCTTTTCATACTCTTTTATTGACTATGAGGGCTACTCCATTTCTTCTATGGGATTCTTATGCACAATAGTAAAGGCCAAAGTTCCCCTTGACAATTTTTGTCCAGTCGTGTTCGACTCTAGGGGGCGGTGCTCATCCCCGTTTCCAAGCCATAAAGCCAGCGTTTTGTCCGAAGACAATCTTCCGTGGTCACATGGCCAGTGCGACTTAGACACGGAACGCTGTTACCTTCCCACCGAGGTGGTCCCTATTTATCTACTTGCATTTGCATGCTTTCCAACCACTAGGGTG